ATTTCACCGTGTAGTCTCGTAGAAGTTGACAAGTTTTTCAGAGGTACATGCTGCCTTCATAATCAGGGAGATGACGCAATATTCTCAACCTTTTTCGCTGGCGTACCACTAATTCTAATTTAACACATTAAATGTACCTCTAACCAAATGCTTTCAGGGAAAACTTATTTATGTTAATATTATCTTTTGATTCTCTTACTTAGTTCGCGTACCACTCAACATTGGCTCGCGTACCACCAATGGTATGCGTACCATAGGTTTAGAAACGCTGTTCTAGAGGACAGCTATCATGAAGATAAATAACATGACGGAAAAAAGATAATTATAAAAGTGCGAAGAATGGGAATTAAGAGGAGGTGATAAAGGAAAACAATGTGAAATGTAATTGTCAGAGGGACAAACAGAAGAAGGAGGAGTATAAGATGACAAGAAGGAGGACAGAAGAGGAAAATAAAACAATGAAAATTGTTTTTATCAGTTCCATATCTGTAATGTTAATCTGTCATGATTTTAAAACAGAGATAAATTCCAACAGTTTTGTGCGGAAACCACTTGTAGTTCTCCGAGTATGGGTAGATGATATTAAAATCGATGCTATTAAAACATGCTTTGAGGGTTTAGACTCTGTTGAACTGGCTTGGAATAAAGTTCGGTGGACAGTCATGTGTTTGGATTCCATGAAACGGAGGCTTTCTTGAGAAGCTGATAATCGCTCAACTGGTCTTATTGTTCACAAGAACTCACCAGTGGACTCTTTTCTGAGGCAGACAAAGTGTACGCCATCTTACCCTAATGTCCTAAGATACATTTTAACATTTTATCCATCTATACCTAGTTCTACTAAATTGCTTCTTTCCTTGAGAGTTTCTATCTAAAATCGTACATTTATTTCTCATTAATAGCTTACATTTAATACAGTTATATTCACAGTTACATGTAGTTTATTTTTAAATAAATACAATAAATTCGTTTTACTGATTTGGAAAGTTTTTCTTGTTGTAAATAGAACGGTCTCGGGACATGATATTTTGCTATCTGTTCGGATGTCTTCTGTCGATTT